CGCACCGGTCCCATCTTTGGGGGGGCCCTTCCAGCAGGAAGTCAGTGGCAGTGGATTTTTAGATTCTACATTTGATAAAGAGGAGTAAATACTTACTATCCTTTGATGTGAAGCCACCCATATGTCAAGAGGAGGACAGACATGAGCAAAACTGAACATGAAACTGATTACTCCATAAATAATGGAACTGGTGATTGGTTGGTAATGCTGGACAGGACAGCAAGGGAGACACTCGTGCAGTAGCCTGCTTATATTCAGTCCCAGAGCAAACTCTGCAGCATTAACACAGCCATTTAGGAGAGGTTACCACTCAAGCCTTGAGGCCAGGCGACACCTTATGTCCATACATCACGATGAGAAGTGGCAGAACTCCGTACCATGGGCAGCCAGACTACTGGACCTCACCTCAATGCACTTCGGGAGCTCAGAGTGGGTTAAGCTAGTTGTGGAGACATAGTCCGACCCTAATGAAGCAGCAGCCCTGGGCGACACTCCAAAATCAGCTCCGACGCTCTGCAAGATGCTCAGCTCCCACTCTCTACAATATTCTCACTGCTCTGACACAATCTCTTGGTCACATCATGCTGCTGTTAGCTACACTGGTGTGAAACTGCAGTTATGCTGACGTTAGTGGCGCTCAGCCTTATATGGGCAATAGAAGTAATCAAGAGAATACGATCCCACTCCTTGAAAAAAAAATAGGTTCATCTATTTTAACAAGAAAAAAAGAGGTTGGGCTTATTCTAGGGTTCGCTGCAAAGATGAGAAGGGATTTTGCACTGCTCAGACAGCAGGCATTCTTCATCTCAGACCATACAAGTACTCACAATCAGGGCTTTGGCTGATTGAAGGACGTGGGGTTTTGCTTGTGTAGAGAAAAAAAACAAAACGTTTTCAGTACCTATGGGCAACAGAATTCAAAAAGCCCACGTAAACCTGCCAACCTTGTGTCCAGGCTCACGGATGACACTGGAAAGGATATTCAGACATGGTGTAAGTTCAGGTTATCTGAAGGAATTGGTGTTTCTGTGATTAAACTTGGGCTGAACTTAGCCTCCTTTCCACAGAGGACCATTTCATTCTTCAGGTCAATATGTGAACTGACACTGCTCTAATATCCTTTGTTAATCCCCAAACAGTCTACGTAAGGTGTGCCCTTACACATAATAATCGATACTTCTGAACACCGTCAGTACACTTCAGTGCCCTTAATTTATAGCCCTTAATTCATAGCCCTTAATCCATAGCCCGTGCAGCAGAGCTCAGCTTCAGGCAGGCTCTCGCTGCCTGTCAGGAGCCCGCAGTTCAGAAATGCTTTTTGCAACAAGCTCTGCCAGCCTTACCAGAAACCTGTTTTCTCTCTTTATGCATCAAGCCAGCTGATGTGGGCATCTGCCAAGCCACCTCGTTCGAGGAGGAGGAGGAGGAGGAAGAGGGGTTGTCAGCTATGGCTTATCACCGGCTCAATGGTGAAGACATCGTCGGAGAAAAGCATGGAGTCTCCTTGCACCTTGGCTCTCTGGTTCTGGAAGGCGCGGGACAGAAGGGAAAGGCGTTCTCGGACAGTGGGGTCCACCGTGCACTCCTTGAGAAAATAAGCTGTCTCGTCCTCCTCCTGCCTCTGCAGCCTGCAACACTGCCTGCAGCCAGGAGAGAGGCAAACCACACGGAGAATTTAATAAGCGACATCTTTGCAGAGACTGTCGTATAAGTGCAGGGGCAGCGAGGCGCACGGGGAGGAACAGCAGCAGCCCAGCAAGGGATTGACCCCGACCCATGGGGTCCCAGACGGATCAGGTTATCCCTTGTTGCTCGCTGGCATGGCAGGTAGATTTACTCCATGCTTTATAAGCTAAGAAGAGGGTTTTTGAAAGCTGGCAGTCCTCAAGAGAGCAACGTGGCTCTAAGCCACTGCCAGGACTGATGGAGAAGCCACCAACCAACCTCAGCCAGCCTTTTCTACCACGGAGCTGCTGTGGGCAGGCAGATCACAAAGATCAAGGAGCACCCACTGCAGTGCTTCCCAAGGACGGGGAGCAGCTGGGTTTCAGCTGCAGATTCCCAGCGTCGCTCTCGCTTCTTCCTGTTTGGACCTGCAGGGATAAGCAAATGATACCTGCCCTCCGTTCCCTGTGCTGCCTTTCACTAGAGGATCCCCGAGCCCTTGAACAGCAAACTAACGAATCCAGGCATCACACCACCTCGGTGCAATTAATGTGTTTCTACACATGGAAAGAGGCCCTGAGAAAGGAACAGACTTCACCTAGCATCAGCCAATAAAGACATCAGGACCAGCAGTTCCGAATCCAAACCCTTAAATCTAGCCTTGCACCACCGTTCTCCTTTTTGGGGTCCTCTGCAGAGCTTTGACATAGTTCATCTCTCCCTTACATAGTAGCTGTCGCAGAAATCATTCTAGTCCTCAAAAATCACAACCAAGAGATGAGAAGGGAGCACTGGCTTCCTAACTGGCACATTGCTGTCTCCCCTTCATGCTCCAGGCCCCTGGCCAGGAAGAACCACAGCAGGTGACAGCTCACGGGGGCAAGTGGAAGGCTCCGTACGCAGCAAAGCAAGGCGATGTAGTATAAACAGCAGAGCTATCATCACCCAGCTAAATCCAAATACAATTAGAGAGGAAATAGTCATGGATGTTAGTAACTGTGCACAGACAGAGCCTCGGGCAAATGCTGTCACCAGCGCCAAAAATACTCGCTTTGGCGAGCTCCCCATAGAGCGCGGCAGGAAATGTTTCTCCATGGCTGACCTACAATGCCATGTATGAGGAGAGCCTCCAGCCACCAAGACCAGCAACCCTCAGCAGACAATTCCACCACTCTATCCCAGAAAGTCCTGCAGGAGGGAGAGCGAGCAAACCCCTGGGTAGACCTTCTCACCATCCAAGTCTTTCTGGGTCCCACTCCAGTGCAGGGTCCTCCATAAGTAAGGAAGAAGGAGAATTAGTGAAGTGACAGCCCATAGCAGGAAGGGACAGAGAAGAGAACTTAACTGTGCTGCAGCAGCAGTAGGGAGAGACAGCAAACCCCTGGATAGACCTTCTCACCAGCCAGGTCTTTCCGGGTCCCACCCCAGTGCAGGGTCCTCCAGAAGTGAATAAGGCCTCTCTGCTCTAAAATCTCAAAAGCTTCTCTGACAGCAGGACAGTGGCCTTGGAGCTATGACTCCATCCCTAAGATTGCAAGCAAGGAAGAATAAAACGTCCTGGTCAGAGTCCAGGACACAAACTGGTACAAGATCAAATGTAATTGGAAAAAAATGGGGTTGAAGTTAACTGTGGGGAAACCTGGTTGCTTCTGAGGGGAAAGAGGATTGCTCAGGGTCCAGTCTGAGACACGCAGATGGGAAGAGATGGTAAAGGAATGGTCCAGGGAAGTACGAAGAGAAGGTAATGAGATTTTTCTTTGAACACACTGAGCCTGCACAGAAGTCACACGCTGTGTAATTAAAAATAGAGAACAGTGGAAAACTAGTTTTGGCCTTCGAGGCATTTCTGACCTAATTATGTTGAACTTTATTTGCTCAGAAGCCCTTAAAAAGTGCTCCAGTTTGAGGCAGTTTCCTGATCAGCTATAGGTTCGGACTAACTCCTATACCTATCCAAGGCTGAAGAGTCGCACAAGGATTCCCTAAATCACCCCAGCTTTTAAGCGCCATTTCCAGTTCACTCTCCCTGGGGCTGTCAGCGCTTCTCTGCTGCCTGAAATGGGAATTTCAAAGCTTCACCAAAGCCACCCTTCAAAGGACCTGCCCCATCTCTCACCACCTCTGGTGGGCTGAAGCCCAAAGGCAATTCCAGGTCCTGCACTGCCCTACCTTCCCTGCAGAACCCTCCGCCTCCAACCTCTCCCCAGCCTCCAAGGCAGGGCAGGGATACCTCGCTGTGCTGGAAACCAGGACGGTGCAAGGCAATCCACCACCCTACAGCAGGCTGGCCTCAAACTCGCTGGGCCAACAAAGCACCCTCCCCTGCACATCGCTGGAAAAGAGCCTGCCATCTTATCAAAACTGGAGTGGAAGAAACTGCTCTGACTATCATCATAGTTGTGTTACCTGCAGCTACATGAAGTCCCATGTAATGCGTCCTGACACTTTCCTCAGCCTCATGAACCCTTCTGTAGCCTGGAGATCTCTGGACCTCAGTGGTTTGTGCTCCCACAAAACACCACTTTGCTATCCAGTCATGGCAATCAAGCCTTCCTTCCCAGAACATCAACCTCAGCTGGAGTCTGGGTGGAACTGGAATGGGAAATGCTAAGCTACATCGCCCTGAAGCCCAGGGACAGATACCCAGACACTGTGGCTGGTTCACTTGTCCTAAACCACTCCAAAGCACCAACACCCCTCTGAGGCCATGCGTTAGTTTTACCCTTGGGCAGCGTATCTTACTGAAACAAATCTTTCAAACCAACCTCAGCTTCTGCTGATCCTCCTCTTCCTGAGTAACAAAAGCCTTCCACTGGCGATTTCACTCTGGTTGTGGATGACGATGGATTTGTGGTTTGACAGCGTGAGGTAAGTCTTCTCAACTGTTAAGGAGTTCCCCTCTAGTCTGATGTTGACATCTACAGCTGCTCCATAAGGCTTGTGTGAATATCTTCAACTGGAAGAAAGCCAAGGGGAGTCCTTTGCTCATCTCAGTTGCTAATGGCAGTACAAGGAACAGAGCCAGCTGTAACAAGTCACAGCTTTTAGCTGTTTTAGCAGTTCTGAGGACCAGCACATTCATCACATCCCGACAGCTGCACGCATACAGCATGAGGATGTCCTGGACACCACCTTCAGCACCTTCTTTCTGAGTGTGTTTGTAGAGATTTATCCTCAAGGTGACAGTCTTCACAGTAAGGTATTTCAGACATGCCCAGGTACGTGCCCAGGGGGCCTTTGGGTTGCCATCCCACTCCGGTCACACGGAATTCCGCATCGTTCGGGTCACCCTGGGGAGTCCCACTTTGGTCGGGGGTTGTCCAGGGGCTCCTGCAGGCACATCACCAGTGTTGGGTCCCTCCCAATCCCTTGCTGCTGACAACTAAAGATGCCTGGGGGCAAACTGGCAGAAAAGGGGGGTTCAGAGGAATCAGTGAAGTGACAGCCCATAGCAGGAAGGGACAGACAAGAGAACTTCACTGTGCTGCAGCAGCAGTGCCCTCGCTTGCTGTAGGTTTGGGAAGATACGTCGAAACAAGCCCGGGGAGGCGTGTCCCACACCAACCTGCCCATTACAGTCCTGCAAGCCCATTTCTTCAGCCTGGATCCTGCTGCCTAAGCCCGAGTGAGCAAGTCTACACCGAGTATTCCCAAGCTATTCAATGACCAAAGCAAGGGCATCTTTGCTTTCCACCTCAGACTGAGCTGAAGAGGAGAGAGCCCCTGGCTGAGCACTTCAACTGATGATGATCAGAGTCACACTGGAGTACCTGCCAGCATCTCACCCTCCAGAGCAGACTCCCACCAAAGGCTTCTTCACTTCCAGAGCTTTCAAACCGCCATTCTTCCCAACCAAGTTTGCTAGATGGACTCCTTCAATCCTAAGCCAAACACAACACAGCAAAATCACTGTAACAAGTCACAGCTTTTAGCTGTTTTAGCAGTTCTGAGGACCAGCACATTCATCACATCCCGACAGCTGCACGCATACAGCATGAGGATGTCCTGGACACCACCTTCAGCACCTTCTTTCTGGGTGTGTTTGTAGTGATTGATCCCCAAGGCAACAGTCTTTACAGTGAGATATTTCAGACGTGCCCAGGGGGCCTTTGGGTTGCCATCCCACTCCGGTCACACGGAATTCCGCATCGTTCGGGTCACCCTGGGGAGTCCCACTTTGGTCGGGGGTTGTCCAGGGGCTCCTGCAGGCACATCACCAGTGTTGGGTCCCTCCCAATCCCTTGCTGCTGACAACTAAAGATGCCTGGGGGCAAACTGGCAGAAAAGGGGGGTTCAGAGGAATCAGTGAAGTGACAGCCCATAGCAGGAAGGGACAGACAAGAGAACTTCACTGTGCTGCAGCAGCAGTGCCCTCGCTTGCTGTAGGTTTGGGAAGATACGTCGAAACAAGACCGGGGAGGCGTGTCCCACACCAACCTGCCCATTACAGTCCTGCAAGCCCATTTCTTCAGCCTGGATCCTGCTGCCCATGCCCGAGTCAGCAAGTCTACACCGAGTATTCCCAAGCTATTCAATGACCAAAGCAAGGGCATCTTTGCTTTCCACCTCAGACCGAGCTGAAGAGGAGAGAGCCCCTGGCCGAGCACTTCCACTGATGAATGATCAGAGTCACGCTGGAGTACCTGCCAGCATCTCGCCCTCCAGAGCAGACTCCCACCAAAGGCTTCCTCACTTCCAGAGCTTTCAAACCGCCATTCTTCCCAACCAAGTTTGCTGGATGGACTCCTTCAATCCTAAGCTAAACACAACCCAGCAGAATCACGTTCATTCTGGGGAGGGGAAGAGAGCCCCCTCTTTTGGAGGGGGGTTGGGGAATGAAGCAAGACTCACCCTTCAAATAGTGCATTTCTACAGTCGTTCATTCATCTCCACACACAGAGAATTCAGCCTTCATGCCTGTATAACCTCGATTTCTCTGCTCTCAAGGGAGTCTGGAGAGGCAGGGATTTGTGGCCAGAGATGAGTTACATTGCGAGAAAACCATCAATGTTTCCAGTGACTGGGCAATCTGCTTTCCGTAACAGACAGCTCCGCATATACAAATAGCTGAAGTTCAGAAGAGTTACAGAGGCAGGTATGCTTCATCAGCATTGCCTTTCCCCTCCGCTGAATCCTCAGTGTACACCGGCAAGAGGAGGAACCAGGACCCAAGAAACAGGAGACGTGCACAGTGCTTCGAGCAAGTACAACTCGGGTTCATGGAAACGCGAGCTAACGCTCCACAACCAGCAAGACGACAAACTACTATGAAACAAACACCACGAAAATGATCATCATTTCACTGTCTAAACCCACAGCCACATGGGTCTTGAAAAACTTGGTATAGTTCTGATCTCAGAAAACAAGCTGAAATATTTGAAATTAAACAGAGAAGGGTAGAAAGAGCAATTAAAAGTATGGAGCAGCTTCTACATGAAGACTGAAAAGGATTCCTCAACGTAGAAATCACGAGGGAGAGGTCTGTGAAAGCATGAACAGCCTGGGAAAGGTAAATGAAGAAAAATTCGTCATGATTTGTCACAAAGCAGGAACCCGAAAGCTTGAAACCATGCTATTAGTTAGAAGTAACACACAAGTAGTTGTCTTTTTCCAGCGAATATTCCTTCCTTCGGAACATACTGCCCTAGGAGGCTGCAGAGGCTAACAGCTGGAAATCCAGAGAGCAAACGGACAAATTCTTGGAAGATAAAACCATCAGAAGCTATTAAACAAAGATGAGAATAAAGCCTCCAGCACAAGAAAATGCTAACTCCAGAGCCCACGGGGGACAAAAAGCGTATGCCCTGCCTGTTTCTGCACGCTTTGCTAAGCATCGCCTATTGCTGTTCTCCCGGAGAAGAGCTGGGGACACAGCCACCCTTACGCTCTTGGCCGCAAGTACCAAGGACTCTTTCGCAGGCTGAAGGGTTTTCTAGAGCACCTTCTACCACCAAGAGAAGTATTTGGCATCGTTCTGAAGGTACAAACCCCCAGTCCGGGGTAGAGTGTGCACAGATGCCAGCGAGCCAGGAGGAAGCCGCAGAGCTGTCTGCCAGGCAGATGAACCCACACGGAAAGCAGAGCTGCCATGGTTGGCCAAGGGCAGCTGCAGGCTTCATGCCTCGGATGCCAAATTAGATGTGACATTTCATTTAAGACTCTTGGTTGTTTAATATATAAGTTTGAAAAAAAAGACCTCTGTACTGTAACAGTGATGTAGTACTAGGTATTTCACTTGACAGGGTAATGTCCATGGTGTGTAGTTCAGGATGCTTTGCTGCCATGAAAGCACATTTACTGAATCTAAATGCATCTGCCCTATCATTATTTACACAACATGATCCTATTACAGGCTGTCAATTCTCTTTCCTACATGCTTTGATACATTTCCTACCGATGGCAGGACACAGCGCTCTGCAACCCAAGCGAAGCAATGCCTGAACCCGAAATTAAAAGCTAGACTTTTTATGCAGCCGTAGAGCAGATGCTTTGGGTTTGGCACTCCTGAACGATGCTCTTCCATGCAGCAGAAACACCACTGCTTTATTCCAGCATCCATCTGCATGACTACGTAACACCTGGGGAGGAACATCCCCATGCACCAGTACAGGCTTGGGGCGGACCTGCTGGAGAGCAGCTCTGTGGAGAGGGACCTGGGTGTCCT